GAGCGCAAGGGCAGAGGACTAGAGATCAGGGGAATGAGAATCAAGGGAGACTAGGAGTGGCCAGGGGGCCAGGAAGCAAAGCCATCTCCAGACAGTGCAAGCCATTTTTTCTGTACATGTTTTTATTAGAAGTCACGTGGTGTTTTCACCTTCACGAGCCACACGCCCCTCATTGCCATCACTTCAATCTACCATTACAGCACAAAGCATCCGCAGACACGTGGGAGCAAACAGAGGGGGCCGTGTTCCAACAAAGTCCGCGAGAACCTGTGCAGGCTGACTTGGCCTGCCTCTGTAATATTCCAAACCCTGGAAGAAAGAAAATGGCCCCAGGAGTTGCGCAACGCAGAGAGCCGGAGCGCTGCTGTTCGGGAAGCTGAGTTGGCAGAGGGTTGCCAGGAAGAGCGATAAGTGGAACCAAATCCTGCTGACAGCTCCAGCGGATGAAAGAGAATCAGCCAGTGACAATGGGAACACAGAGGACAGGACGCCGGTGGCCTCGACTAGAGCTTCTTGCCGCAATGATCAGGCAGGCTGATCAGGATAAGTGCCAAAGAGTGGGAATTCTTTGAAGAATTCTGGTTCCTGGGGGGAGGGAGGCAGGAAGAGCTCTGAGAACAGCTATTCTTTTTGGCCAATGAAGCAGGGACACGATTGTTATTTACACAGAATGGGACTGTTATCAAAGCAAAGGAGCGGCTGCGATTCTTTCAGCGGTGGCAGTCAAGCATTGCCGGGTGCTTTCAAGGAGCACACGTCTTTTGGATTCTCAAGAACAGAAACTTGGGCTCTGGTATTGAATTAGAAGCCACTGGGAGGTGGCTTCAGTACGACAGAGCTATCTGAGGGCGTTATTTAAGGCCAAGAAGCTGAGTGTTGACATCCCTGAGATCTCAAAACTCAGGAGGATGAGCGAGAAGGATGCCAGTCTCAGAGGCTACTTAGTTTAGGGCTAGACCGGACTATGTGAAACACTGTTTCAAAGGGGATGGGGGAGACTAGACATAGAGGTTCATGCCTGTAATCCCAATGCCCAGAAAACAGGCAGCAGGATTGGGGAGTAGAATAAGATAGGAATTCCCAGGCCACTCAGGTCTACATTAAGAATCTTTATCACTGAAAGAAAATAAGAGTTTAAAAAAGAAAAGGGCTGTGAGGGAAGACGGAGGGAGAGAGAGAGGGAAGAAATGACTTGAGGCAGGGACATCTTGGTCACCAAGTTCACAGAATTTCTAATCAGAATTATTCTATCCTGTGCTCCAGCCGTAGCCCACGCAGTCCCGCCATTCACACAGCCAAGCGAGCTTTTCGTTAATTGCACTGAGTTATTAGCATGGGGGTCCATTCAGTGACGAAGCCTAAATTTATGCCCCACTTTGCTTCCCAGGGAGTCCAAACTATTTCATATCAATTACCTCATCGATCTCCTCAGTCTTCCATATGAGATTTAGAAGTATTATTTCTTTTTCATTTCGACATCACACCCGCAGAAGGGTGATAAATATCATGCCCCAAGGTTTATGATGTGGGAGCTAGGACCCTGTCAAGGAACTTTGGTTGGTGACTTTTACCTCTGAGAGGAGACCTAGAAGGCAGCAAGTGGTTGGAGAGGTTTGGTCTAGCAGACTAGGCCTTCTGTGTGTCTCTTACCAATGCCAAATGACAGGAATGGAAGCATCTCACCCTCGGAGCAGCATTTTACCCAGCTAGCCAGACCTCCAGTGTGTGCCAGTGCCTGGCATCATAGGCAAAACTGGGCTCTTCTCTTTTCTCTCTCTCTCTCTCTCTCTCTCTCACTCACACACACACACACACACACACAATTTTTGTGTGCTGCTGAGGGTCAAACCCAGGGCCTGGAATATACTAAGCAAGGAACCTATCACTGAGCTATACCCTCAGCCCAGCTGCTGTAGATCTGTCTTGGCAAAGTGTCCCCATCAGACACAATGTGGAGGAGGGCCTGGACAGATGGTACAACCCTGAAGATCTAGAAATGCCTACAAGCAATTTGTTGTTTCAATTTCATTCTTTCAATTATTTCAAAAGAGAGTTTCTCTATGAATCTCAGGCTGGTCTAGAACTCCTGACTCAGTTGTATTAGCCTCCCAGTGACAGAATCACAGGGTGCACTACCACACCCAGCCTCTTCATGAAATTCTTTCCCATTGATACTGCAGGCAGCACCCTAAGCCAGTCCTCTTTCTTTGTGGGGGAGGGGATGCAAGTGCCCTGTGTCCCAACACATTCCACACACTTAGCCAGGGTCAGGAGCCCCAAAGAGCAAGTGACACTATGGTGTGTGTGTGTGTGTGTGTGTGTGTGTGTGTGTGTGTGTGTGTACACTGCCCTTGCAACTCTGTCTATTAAAAACCCTGGGAAGGCTAGGCATGCTGGTGCACAACCTTAATCCCAGCACCCGGGAGGCAGAGGCCTGGGGATCTCTGCGTTTGAGGCCAGCCTGGTCTACACAGCAAGCTCTGGGACATTCAGGACTATAGAGAAAGACTGTCTGACAAAAACTGCAATGTTGGGAACCAGACCTAGCATATATTTGACAGAGCGTCAGGGTGTCCTCAGCAGACATTCTCAGGGTATTTTCTCCCAGTTACATAAGATCAAGCCATGCAAGTAGAATCTGGAGCTATTTCACATACAGGAATCTTCAACCCCCATTTTAGCATACTGAGGTACAAGCTTCACAGAAGGTCTTGTCTAGAAGGTATGATCCCCTTTCATGCATAAACCTTTGGCTCTTCTTCTTGCCCTGCCTATTTCCAGGGTAATTCTTTGTTTTAAAATCCTGAAGGCCATGCACTCTTTAACCTCAGGCTAGAACTGATATGAAATCACACATAGCTATAAAACCATAAAGCAATTAGCAATAATTCTACTATCAGACAATGATTACCAAGAGAGTGGAAAAATGTGCCCAAGTCCCCATTTACATAATGAGATGGCTCCAAATCCCTACAGTTTTGTGAAAACTCAAACAGCATGGTTTCTCAGAAAGACAACTAGCTGGAGGTGACTTCATCCAGGTCATCAGGAAGTAGCCTCAAGTGGCTGAGATCCAGGCTCCTTTCATGGGCACTACAGCTGCCCGATTCTCCCCAGGGCCAAAAGCTTTCTGGGGAGTTGGAGGAGTGAGGGATTATAATTGTGTGGACAGGAATGGCTAAGCCTAGGAGACCAGGGGGACCTGAAGACTGTCATGAGTGAGGCTCAGGAGTTCTGTCTTTAGACCTCCAGTCAAGGTCCATGCCAATAGAAAAGCCGACATATCTGCATTCCTGGAACCAGCTTTGGAAGTTTACCAGCTGGACAGCCAAGCCGTGAGTTCTTGCCTCATTTCTCAGCTCCACACAGCATTTCAGGTCAACAGGAGCAATAGCAGAAGGACCCTCTCCCATGTTGGTTCTGGGTCCTTGGGGGTACTTTCGCCACTGTTCCAGTTAAGCTGATAAACCAAGGAGGACGCTTCACTCTGCATTCCCCAAGTAACTATTTGCATTGAGCCTCAAGAGAAAAAACAATAGATGTTGGGGAAGTTGATAAGGACTTAGGTAGGTCACGGCTCCGTTTGACTTCCTACAGGGTCAGCTCTTCAGCTCGGAAAGCAAATAACATCTGTTTGTAACATTCCTTTTACATAAGCACTCCGGACTGCTCTTCTTTGAGAAGAGGGGCTTGTGATAAGCTAAGGGGCTTCTGTTTACTATAACTCAGTAACGTAAAGTTTAACTTGGAAGTCAAGATGATGACTGTTAGACTGAGCACTCCAACTTCCTTGGAGGGGTGGGTGTTGGCTTGGAGAAGCTACCTTCAGAGATGCATTCTGGGTTGGAAAGGGTTTCCATAATCCCCAGAACATTCTGACATTCCTCTGTGAGACTGCATTTCAAGAGCAAATTAAAACACACACACACACACACACACACACACACACACACACACACACACATACACACACACACACACACACACACACACACACGGTTGGGCGGTGGTGGTACATGCCTTTAATCCCAACATTCAGGAGGCAGAGGCAGGCAGATCTCTGTGAGTTTGAGACCAGCCTGGTCTAGTTCCAGTGTTGGTTCCAGGACAGGCTCCAAAGCTAGAGAGAAACCCTGTCTCAAGAAAACAAAACAAAACAAAACAAAAAAACAAAAACAAAAAACACATACAAATCTGGTCAATTCAAATAGTGTCCAATAGTTCATCTACTCTCGTATTGCTTTGTTTGATCTTTTGTTTGTTTGGTTGGGTTTTTTGTTGCTTATTTGTCAATGTTAAGAATCAAACTCTGGCCGAGAGGTGGTGGTTCACGTTTTTAATCTCAGCACTTGGGAGGCAGAGGCAGGAAGACCTCTGCATTCAAAGCCAGCCTAGTCTACAAAGAAAGTTCCAGGACAGCCATGGCTATGCACAGAAACCTGTCTTGAAAATCCGAAAAGAAAACAGAAAGAAGGAACCAAACTCTGAGCCTCTTGCCTGGTAGAAAATGTTTGTCCTGTCACTGACCTATATTCCAGCTTCTGGTCTCTATTCTGCCCAGATTTGACCACAAATGGCATGCATTTGTTTATAAACATCAAATCTGCCTTGAAAAGATTCATATTTGGAGCCGGTAAGATGGTTCAGTGGGCAAAGGCGCTTGTCACCAAGCTTGACAACCTGAGTTGTCAGCCAGGGACCCGTCATCATGAATGTGCCAGAAGAAAATCTAATCCTGCAGTCGTCTTTGACCTCCACATGCACAACTTGGCACGCACATCCTCACCCGAGCATGTTCCCCAGCCCTACTATCAGAGAAAGGAAAAGAAAAGGTAACTGCTGCAGCCAAATACATAGGGGAAATGTCATGTAGGTTTTGAAGTAGATTTTCTAGAACAATTGCCAAAAGGTAAATGATTTAAAAAAAAAAAAGGTGTGTGGGGGCTTCACCACGGACCACAGGGCCATGGCTGGGACACTGGTGCACAGAGTGGCCGACTATGTCCGGAGCAAGGACTTCTGGGACTATCGTGAGTACGCACTTCTGGGGCCCAGTTGCCAACTGGAGTCTCCCCATTGCTGCTATCAATGACATGAAGAAGTCTCTGGAGATCATCAGTGGACAGATGACCTTCGCCCTCTGTTGCTATTCTTTGACACTCATGAGATTTGCCTACAAGGTACAGCCTCGAAACTGGCTTCTATTTGTATGCCATGCTACAAACAAAGTGGCCCAGCTCATTCAGGGAGGAGGCTCATCCACTATGAGATGAGTAAGAAGGCAGCTGCGTAGCAGTCCAGGGATCAGCTCTGGAAAGGGACAGAGCCCCAGCCACTGCTGCCACGCCACAGATCGCATTGGCATCGACGGTCTTGCTGAGGGGAAAACACGGAATGCGGTCTTTAATTACCGTGCCAACATTATAGAAAAGCCAAGAGTCCCCAAACCAACTCTCTGCTGCCTTATCAATGCTAAAATGTATTTGTCTTCACCAAGAGTAGTACAAAATATGCAACTAATTTAATAATTCCGTATGATGGTTTTATCTGTACTAATGTGTATATTATCTATTGCGATTTGTGTAATAAAAATCTAAGGAACAAAGTTTTATAACTCTAAAAAAAAAAAAAGGTGTGTGGGCAGAAAGCTTCCCAAGGGGTTGACTTTCAAGGCCACATGTGTCTCGTCCTTATGCAGCAAACCACTAAGTGCCCCGCCTGGAGAGGCGGTAGACGGAGTAGGGCCTGAAGTGACAGCACCGGGAGAGTGAGGAACTTTTCACACTCTATTCAGGCACCTCATGCTCCTGGTTCCAGGCCCCTCTCAGCATCACCCTTCACATCCCTGGTGCCGGGCCCCGCTCAGCATCACCACTCACATCCCTGGTACCGGGCCCCGCTCAGCATCACCACTCACATCCCTGGTACCGGTTCCCGCTCAGCATCACCCTTCACATCCCTGTTGCCGGGCCCCGCTCAGCATCACCCTTCACATCCCTGTTGCCGGGCCCCGCTCAGCATCACCCTTCACATCCCTGGTGCCGGGCCCCGCTCAGCATCACCACTCACATCCCTGGTGCCGGATCCCGCTCAACATCACCACTCACATCCCTGGTGCCGAGTCCCGCTCAGCATCACCACTCACATCCCTGGTGCCGGGCCCCGCTCGGCATCACCACTCACATCCCTGGTACCGGCCCCGCTCAGCATCATCCCTCACATCCCTGGTGCCAGGCCCGCTCAGCATCACCCTCATATGCCTGGTACTAAGCCCACACCAGCAGCAGCATCTAGCATATCTGCAAACTATCTTCCTCAGACCCTTGGTTAAAAGTACCAGTCATACAATGAGGTGCTCACATCGCAGGAAATGTAGTTCTAATTTTGTATTTTGTTTTTTCTTTCTTTGAAATATGATTCCCATAAAGCCCAGGTTGGTCTTGAGCTCTTCGTATAGCCAAGGATGACCTTGAACTCCTGATGGCCCTGCCTCCACCTTCTACGTGGATCCCAGGAGTACGCCACTAGGCCTGGTTTGATGTGGTACTGGGGACTGAACCCAGAGCCGCATGCAGGATAAGCAAGCTCTCTGCCAACTAAGCTATGTCCCCAGGACCATAATGGGTTCTAACTGACCATGGTAAGAACTGAAAAAGTTAGACAACTTGCCTGCCAGTGAAGGGCATAGTGCTTCACGTCACCTAGAAAAGAATGCCCAATGATGCCCGGTGTCCTGGAGAAAGCAAATCAACTCCAGAGGTTGAGCCCCAGAGGAAGGATGAAGTTTAAGTTAGCCCGGACATTGTAACAAGCCTTTCTCCCTGCCAACCTGCTCCCAGCTCCCAAATAACTACATGCTGACTTCTTAGCTTAGGCTTGTCCTACTAGCCTTTATTAAGTTAAATTAACCTGTTTTTATTGATCTACATTTTACCATGTGGCTTTTTACCGTTCTTTCTGTCTGTCCAACTCCCTCCATGTCTCATAGTATCTTCTCTGTGCCTCGATTATCTCCTCCTGCTTCCTCTCTCTGCTCGGAAGTCCCACCTGTACCTCCTATTGACCATTCAGATTTCCATTAAACCAATCACAGCGATATATCTCCACACAATGTGCAAAGATCTCACAACAGTACACAGTGTCTCAGAACACCACAGGTAGTAGATGTGGCTCAATGTCAGAACAAAAGCCTGGCACACATCAGGCTCTGTGCCCATCCCCTATGAAAAGCTAGCGAGTTCAGAAATGCTGACAAAATGAATTGAATTCAAGATACGGTACCGAGAACACTTGCTGATTGCTTTTGTGACAGGCTAGCCTCAAATGAATGATCCCCTGCCTCAACCTTCCAAGTGTGGAGAGCACAGGTACAGGTGTATGCCGCTGTTATTCGACACTATTTCTGGAGTGGCACGAGGAACTATCTACTCACTACTGACCACTCATATAAGGAACTGGTGACAGACCAAACTAACTAGACCACCGAAGTGCAGATTGGTGAGCCAATCAGCTGATTGGGCTGCTTTCGGAATATGGGTGAGCATGGATCACTCCACCCCAGCAAGGGTGATGACTCACGAAAGCCGGAAACCCGGCCCTTCCTGCGTGACTTGCAGACGGTTCACGAGGTTGACAGGTGGGAGAGTCTTCTCTTCCAACAGTCCTTACTAATATAACATCAGAGAGGGAGGAGCCTTATGGAACTGGTAAGTGGCAGGGACGTTGTGAGCCTTCTGAGTTGTTTACTTCCTGAGTCTTAAGATATCTCCCTTTAGAGCTTCTAAGGCTTAAGATGCTTCTCCACACTGGGCAGTGGTGGCGCACACCTTTAATCCCAGCACTTGGGAGGCAGAGGCAGCCGGATCTCTGTGAGTTCAAAGCCAGACTGGTCTACAGAGCTAGTTTCAGGACAGGCTCCAAAAGCTACAGAGAAACCCTGTCTCAAAAAACAGAAGAAGGAGGAGAAGGAGGAGGAGGAGAAGGAGGAGGAGGAGGAGGAGGAGGAGGAGGAGGGGAGGAAGAGAAGGAGAAGGAGAAGGAGAAGCAGAAGCAGCAGCAGCAGCTTCTCCATGGGATGGAATGTTTCAGCTCTGAGAAATCTGATACACAATAGCCTCCACTCCTTGCCCACTAAGAAATTATTATTTAACCCAGCACTCAAGAGACAGGGGCAGGTGGATCTCTATGACTTTGAGGTCAACCTGGTTTACATGGGGAGCTCCAGGACAGCCATGAACCTGTCTGATAAAAAAAAAAAAAAAAAAAAAACTTTGTGTAATTATAACCAGCTTAATGTAATAGCAAGAGATTATCACATTCTAAATAGAGATATCTAAATATTAGATTAGATAAAACTGATTTTTATATTTACATAAAAGGAGCTAGTTTCCTGGAATGGGTAAGGCAGCTTGTTCTAAACTCTACTAAAAACCAAACTACTAGCCCAGCAGTGGTGGTCCATGTATTTAATCCCAGCGCTTGGGAGGAGAGGCAGGTGGACCTCTGAGTTCAAGGCTAGCCTGGTCTGCATAGTGAGTTCCAGGACAGAGAAACCTAGTCTTGAAGAAAAAAAACCACAAAAACAAAAAGAAAGAAAGAAAAAGAAGTGTATTATTATCATTAAATGGAGGGGCACAACGCTAATTCATGCTGTGACGTCAGAGGACAAGGTTCAGGGTTGGCTTCTGCCTCCTGCCTAGAGGCAAGGTGTCTCATTTCTGCCACTGTGCAGCACACTCCACGGTGGCATCAGGCCTGTCTGTCTGTACCTACCATGTCTAGTCGTAGGTGTGCTAGGACCACAGATGTGCACTACTCCATATGGCCAACTTGGACCAGCCTCAAACTCATGGCAATCCTCCTGTCTCAACCAGGAACACTGAGTTTACAGGCATGACCATACTTGGCTCCCAAGAGAAACCTTCTCTCTAAAAGCAAGAAGTGTACTGTCCCTTCCCGCCGTCATTAGCAGTGCCACCACGGGCTCCACGCTTTCACACAGCAGGCTGTCGGGGTAGTGATAAAGGCTCTGCTATTAAACCACACACACGGTTATTTTGCTAAATACTTGGTTTATCTTTAAGCTTAAACGGATACCAGTATTGATTTACCTGAAACCCGGGCCTGCTGTCAGTGTGCCCTGCTTCGTGGATAATCATTAAAACTCAGGCCCAGCCAAGTTAGAGAGAAGAGGCTGGGAAAGCAAATGCAGGAAGAAATGGGGAGCAGACTTCACAAAGAGCTGCGCGATCGAAAGCAAAGATTCCCTTCTTCCTGGGAGAGGCAGAAAGATCTGCTGCAAGATGAGGTACAGAGGGACTTTTGAAGATAAAAATCGATGCACTCTGGTCCTCCTGACAGTGGGAGGGGGAAGCACCCAGACTTCTGTGACATTGATTAGAAGAGAAGGAACACCGTAGTACCAAAGTTCATGTGTTTATTTATTTATTTAAAAAAAAAAACGGTTGCTTCTTTTTAAGTTTAGTTACATATTTTTATTCGTTTGTGAGAGGGGCATCCACACACCACTGTGCATGTGTGGAGGTCAGAGGCAACTTTTGGGTGTCAGTTCTCTCTACCATGTGGGTTCATCAAATAAAATTTGATGGCAAGTACTTAACGGCAGAGAAATATCACCAGTCTTCTTATTTGTGTGTGCATGCGTGCGTGCGTGTGTGTGTGTGTGTCTGTGTGTGTTAAACTTTCTGCAGTTGATTCTCTCCTTACTATAGATTTCAGGAACGGGACTGAGGTCACCAGGTTTATGCAGACCTTTGACCTGCTAAGCCATCTCACCAGTCCAAAGTCCACACATTTTTGACCAGGACATTTTTCTCAGGCTTTTTCCTGATTTCAAGTGAGATTTCTCTGCCTCCCTTTCAACTCGGAACTCAAACTCTCTCAAGTCAGGAGTCTTTCGGATTAGCCCCGGGAGGTGCTGACCTCTGCCTATTTCCCAACTCCCAGGAAGTCTTAGCCTTTCCACGAGGAACTCTGAAGAGCAGTAGATCAAGATAAGGAAGAGCTTTACAGCTAGGTAAACCTTCTGGAATTTTCTGATAAGACTGGGGTGTGCAAATGAGGAAACTGGAATTCAAAGGGATCCGGCAACTCAGACCTTGGAAGATAGTGCTTCTGCTAGTCCGGCCAGGGAGCGCGGGTTCTTCCCTTACCACAGGAGTTCTAGGTGCTCCCTGTATGCGATGCATAGTTTACACTCCCCCCCCCCCCACACACACACCCCTCATTCTCCTTTTGACAGGGACTCACGTGG